GTATCAGGAGAGCTTCTGAAATGTTCAAACTTTTGTGAGAATAGTCACAGAATCACAGAATCACAGAATGCCAGGTGTTGGAAGGGACCTTGAAAGATCTTCTAGTCCTGCCCCCCTGCCCGAGCAGGATCCCCTACAGTAGATCAATGGAATCACAGAATGTTAGTGGTTGGAAGGGACCTCAAAAGATCATCTAGTCCAGCCTCCCTTTTCTTAAAACAAAGCACCGTTGAATAGTATGGACACATTCTTTTCACATTCTATCCTGCTATGTAAAAGCCTACACTGATGCCAGTCACGCTGGTCTAACACAACGTACTGACAATCAACTCATTTCATCAGTATTTTATAGTATATTGTCAGTATAGTTCCTGTTTCTCTTTATTTACAGGGGGCTGGTTAGCTCAGTCGCTTAGAGCGTGGTGCTGATAACACCGAGGTCGCGGGTTCGATCCCCGTTCGGTCCCCATGTGTTGCCTGATCTAGTTGAGAGGCGCCCCTGCCCCTGACAGGGATTAAATGATCTCTAAGGTCCCTTCCAGCCTAGGCCAGTCTGTGATTCTGTGATTTAAAGATACAGTATGGTAGGTTGGGGTTTTTTCAGCTGCCTACAAATTTTCCTTGATGACATGTACCACTTGCTTTGTAAGATCTCTTCTTGACCTCTTCAGCCCAGTTTTGCCTAGGAAGGACCCCGCTGTTTGACTACAGACCCCACATGTTTGACTGCACACGCCTGGAGGTCTGAGGCATCTCACAAACGAACAGAGGTGGATCAGACTTGTAATGGCCTACCTAACAAACTGCCCTCTGTAAAGTGCTAAGAATATAGATTATGGTGTCAGAAGCACAAGCGAATAACCCTACTCAGTAACCCTATGAACATTTTTATGCAACACTTTCCAGCTGCAACATAGTCTTTTGCTCACTATATTCTTCCCAGCTTTATTCCATTCCCATTAGCTGGAGAACTGCAGTGTTGTTCTTGCAAAAGCGAGGCACTCGCAGAATAATATGTTGTTATAGTCTTTCTAGACAGAAGTAGGAACCATTTTTACCATAAAATTAGGGATGCCAGGTTTTTATTCTTTTTATAAGGAAAGTTACTCTTAAGGACCCCTCAATCATTCTGATTACACTGAACCTACTTTTTTATCTGTGCACTTACATATTCATGACTCCACACTATTTGTATCTACACTTACATACCTGTGTGCACGCACGTATACACACAGGTGTCCCTGTCGCGTATGAATAAAGCACAAGTGTACTTTTGTCATTGCTGTATATAACACTACAGGAGCAAATCAGCTTTAATATACCAGCTTTAATAATAACCTTACATTTACACTTTGCTTGCCCACCAATTGACTGGGTATCACAAACGAGCCTGGAATTCATGTTACTGTTCTGAAGCAATAGCATGACAACTCTCGTCATCTGCTCTCAGTTGAAACGTTGACGTCTTTGTCTATATTTAGGGATTCATGTATTTGGTTCATATTATGACAACCTTCAGCATTTTCTTGGCCTATATTCAGCTGCTCATCTGATTACTTATCATTCCACACTGCACTCTGCGTGGTCAAACTGCTGCCGCAAAGCCACAGCTCAAAAGGAGGCAGAACACAAGCAGTTGACTCTGTGAAGATACTGTCTGTGTGATACAGCATCTGAGCTTATATTATAAATAAATAATCAGACTGGTCTCCCTAGAGTGCCAAATAAAATCTTTGCATGTTAATGAAAAGTAAAGAGGATGTAAATACATCTGTGGGATGCTTCCACTCCCATCAAACACATTTTTACATCAAGACAGATTCTCTGTCTCATCTCTACCAGCACTGTAATTAAAGCTTTGATCTTGAAGTGGATTATCAGGGTTAACCATGTATCTTTCCATAGCGCTGATGCTGACTACCTACAAGGAGTTAAAACCAACAGTGTTTCAACTCCCACGTAATGCTGTGTCCAGTTGCGCTCTTGGTGGAGAAGTACACTGTCCTTCCTTGAAAATACAGTCAACTAAGAGCCAGAAAAGGTGTTAACCCACCCCTACTGACAACCATGTAACTGCTGGCATTGGTAACTGTCTCTTGTGCGCAGAAAGAATAAGAGGGGGATCCATCGATTACTGTTAGTAATGTCTTTTTTGGGGCGTGCTAACGATGTGGTAATACTACCATCTGTCATTTCTGTCATTTGTGAAGACAAAACCAGGTAGAACAGGGCATGCTGAGGACCAAAAATCACATCTCTTGTTATAGACAGGCCTTGAGAGATCACAGCTTTCCTCCCCTCTTTGGCAGCTGTCTCAAAGCACTATTTATCTATTATCAAGGGAAAGAAAACTTGTCCGTAGACTAAAACTCCCCGACATACTGCCAGTCACACTGGAAGCCAAAACACACCGGTACTCTTCTCGTTATCACTGTATATGACTTACGACAGAGGACCATATTTACTACCTCAAGAAGAAACAAGCTGTAATGAGCCCACAGGGAAAATCAGCAGAGCAGCATAGGTGGGAAAATACAAACATATGATGACTGATCAGGCATGTAAAAATGGCAGTTTTGAACTCAGGAATGGTTATTCTAACAAACATCAGCAAGACACAGTACAATGGTTTGGTTAACTTCCTAGCACTCTCTTAATTTAGAAAAAGAAGAATCAACTTGTTCATTTATTCGGGATATTTTGGTTGTTCTTGTTTTTTCTCTTCTCCAAGTACGAGTCCTTCCAAATCCTCCTAGGTCTCACTCATGCTCATCCTGAGATGCTACAGGTCAGATTTTGCTTTTCCTCTCTATGCCAAAGCAGGGCAGATGGCTGAAACAGAATACAGGCAGCAACACCGCATTTCAATTGTATCTCATATTCCTACAATGCTTGGAAAATCACAGCCTTACTGAAAGTACAGCAGCCTGCATATGTGCTTTCTCTCATAGTCTTTTAATAAATT